TGTACAAAAATACTCACTCCTCCTTTCTCCAGTGTTTTCCTACAGTATCTAGCACCTAAATTATAATTTTCTAAGTGAAGATGTTCTAATTCCAGCTGTTTCATGTGATGTTCAGTAAGGCACAGTATGTGTGGAAGATTTGAATTCATGGAGCTTATTAGTTCATTTGTTTTGTTTCTCAATCCTCTTATATTCTGATGGAATATTCTTAGTACTTTATTATTCATTGAATTTAGTAGACTGCAGTAGACAGACAGAGTAGACAGAGTAGATTTGTATATGAATTCATCAGAATATTCTTCAGGAGTTTAGATCAACATATAAGGTAATATAATATGAGTCAGTATCATGAAAGAGGTAACACCAGAATAATGTATGACCAAAGGAACAAATATGGTCTCAAGAGGGGAGTCCTGAAAATATGGTTAAATACAAGTAGTACTTATGTTTTCATTTCGTAACCCATCAAATACAAATATGAACTCCAACACAATATACTATAATTCTTTTATACAAACCATGGTTGAATTTCAAATAGAAGTATGTTTTGGCTTATAGACTTCAAGAAAAGAGAATACAGAAATCTTATAATAGTTCTGTAAGCCAGGTTGTGTTTACATCACCTGCTACTTGAAGTGAAACACTGAGGAAAACCAAGAAGTGAAGCATTTTGATTTCAGGTAGTAAACAAATGCAACAGTTGGAAATAGCAATGCTTTGTTCAATTACATTGGCTCAGTATACTGGAAATGTATGATCACTTTTGTAGACTTTCTGCGTGGCTTAAAAGGTGATGTTAAAAGAAACAGTAATCCATGAATATAGAACTGGTAAAATATTGTTCAGTCCACTGCTTTATTTATACAGTGCTCTTCTACTGTATCTGAAGAACCACCAATTTGAGCTGGAATTTTTTAATATTGAGAGGAACAGGGCATGTTTCTCAGTATTATGTTCAGTCGACTTAATGAACAGGTTATGTTAGAAAGCCCTGTTCATAAGTTGAGTAATTTCTAAGTAGAAATCCCATAAGATACAATAAAATTAGCAGCAGTTGAATACTCATGCTTATAAACACAGCCTACTTAACCTATAATACTTTACTGTACTGCATGCTGTTTGCATTGTGAGGACTAAGTGTAAAGTCTCCGCACCCAAACTCTCTCACACACAACTAGCAGGAAACTGGGCCACACAGACCAACTTGTAAATCTGTGAATGTGTACTTCACCCAGCTTAGTTCACAGCCTCCATAAAAGAAGAGGGCTAGAATGTAATGTGGCTGGGAACTTCACTGCCTTCTCTGCATCCCACTTACCTTGAATCCAATACACCAAGAATCTCAAAAATTATAAGTTCGAACATGGTGCATGATAATGAAAAGGTGACTGAAAATATTAGCTGAACTAATCTATGATGGACCTCATAGTCACGAAACAGCTTCTTGACAAAAAATACCCAGCCACCTACGAAGAAAAACACCTGTAAGGAAGAAAAAGAATAAAAGTGACAATTTTACTAAATTGTACAATTTGATATACGGATCACCAGAAACTGGTACCAAGTAACTTACACAATCGACAATACTTGAACTTTACCTGTGTTACAAGAATAATGAGGGTATCTTCTATGAAACCCATATTAGTTGTATGTGTGGCAGTTATCACCTAAAACAAAATTAGCCCTTTAAACTTTATTCTCTACGGCTCGTATTCTTCCAGAGCCGTATACCGTACATCTCTAACCGTCTCGCGACTGCATTTTGTCCTCCTGAACACTCCTGAACACGGTTGTCTTCTCTGACCAACCGAATTGAAAGGAGATCGAGAGTTATGAAATATTTTTACATTATGGAGGCTTTACCTGCCTTCCAAAAATACAATGCTGTTAATGTAAGCACATTTATGCATATAATGAAATATTTTGAACTGTAATTCTTTATACGGAAGTATATCATTTTTCATTTTCAATTGACATGATTGCTTCCGATCGTTTCATATATTGGTCAGCATGAGAAATGTCTGATCAGCTGTTTTGGCGTTAAGTGGTGAAGTGAGATTTCTGTCTTGTTGACCCTTGTTGACAACCAGAGTGAAAACATCGGCAGACTGATAGAAGTATAAAACATGGCCCTTTCGTGTGTTTATTTGGCAGCAGATGTATACATGGTTTGCTTGCAACATGCACTATCAACTGAAAAGGAGGAGGTTATGGGTCTTCTTCTAGGGGAGGTTAGGATTGTACGAAGTTCCGTTTGGTAATTTTTTCTTTTGTGGTTGATCCTCAGCCTCGCCAAAAGGATATTTGGATGATGTCTTACACGATCCCATCCTAGCCATGTGGAATGCATTACCATTTCCTTAATACAATAGGCATTGGGCAATTACATGGCTTTCTTATAGTTCTTAACCATTTTCCAGATTGATTCAAAAAAGGTAGCTCACATTTCTGCTGTGGTAATGCTGAGGCGTTCTGATAAACGGAAGGATAGAGTTGAAATTTCACCTGAACAATTAACAAATGCAGCCATTCAAGCAGATAAACTGACTCATGAGCTAGGACAACCCATGAGAGTGCTTGGTTGGTACCACTCACATCCACATATCACAGTATGGCCATCACACGTCGGTAAGAATATATTTATATGTATACAGAGTAATCAGTAATGACATACATTTGTATGTGGTTCCATGAAGACAGGTATAAGATGTAATGATGTACTATTCACCACTAACATGTAGCAAATATGTAATTTTGATTAAATTGTAGATTATGGTGTATTTCTCCGCATCTGCTTGATTTAGGCAATTTTGGGTCCTTTACAAGTGTTCCTTTCTGGTTCGGTTTGATTTGGAATGGTTAAATTATCTTAGGGAAATCAAGACTGAATCTGCAATTTTGTCCTAGTTTCTGTTCTGAATGTTAGCAATATTTATCGTTTATCTGTTCCTTTTTTTAGATGTGAGGACACAAGCAATGTATCAAATGATGGATGAATGTTTTGTGGGAATAATATTTTCTGTTTTTACAGAAGATAAAGCTACAAAAGTAAGTTTTAATTGCTCATATTATTGATAACCTATATAATACTGTTTGTTTCCTGAAGGTAAGGGTATAATTACTGATTGGAGTGCAGATTCCCCACCAAATCACATGTTCATTACACACATCCAGCTATGTACGAGCATGGTTAGCCTTCTAAAGCACAGTGATTACTAATATGTAATACATGGTGTAATCTTTGGAAGTTGTACATTTTGCCCACAGAGTGAATGAATTTGGGTTTTGTATGATTCTCAGAATAAACAGCAGTTATATGCCATTAACCACTTGCTCTTTGTTGTATAAATGGAGTCTGTTTTCTTTGAGGTGGTAACTGAATTTTAAAATAATTTGTAGACAAATTCTTGGCTTTAAAATGTTAAATAAACACTCTTAGAAACTTGAGTGATATAATCTGTCCAACTAACCAAGCTTAATATTGCCAGTGATAATTGATATTCAGTTCAGTTCAATTCAGTTCAATTTTATTTCATCCATGGATCATTATACATGATATGGGACAAGTCAAAGATTAATATTAATACTAATACTAAATAATAATAAGTATATAATAATACAGAAATAATATGACAATATAATAATACATGATAATAATAATAATATAGCAATACAGAGATAATAATATGACAATATAATATTGATTGATTGATTGATCCACCTCGTCACTGCAGATCACTGTACATGATACATGACAAGTCAAGCCAATTCTGAACATTAACAATCCGATACATAAGCAGATTAAAATTACAATAGTTACAATTCCACTGCTGATTACAATCTAGAACCGGCTAGATACTCCCACTTGTGGAGAATTTGATGGAATGAAC